CCATAACCTGTTTTGTGTCTTTGAACCAGCTTATCGAACCAGGTTGGTCCAGTTCTAGGTTGTCTATGGTATGGTCTAGAACTGGTTTGTCCTCTAGTTCTATTACCATAAAAGGGTTGGTTCTGAAAACTCGGTTTTTGATTCATTTGAGTGTCTCTTGGAATATATCCGAGACCAGCAGTCTCGTTTTCCTTTCTTTTGTACCAAGAGGGTCCAGTTCTAGAATGCTGTCTAGACCTGGTTCTTACCTTGGTACTATATGGTTGGTATTCCGGTTTGTTTTTGAAATCCTGTCTCTCGTCCTCAAGGCGATTGAGATGATTAATGAGCAAGGCAATGTACGGAATTTTTCTTAGAAGTTTTTCTTCGTCATTAACTTGTTTATTCATACTATCGAGCTTGAGTGAGCAAATGAGATTATCTTGTTCTAAAACAACTTCACTATACTTGAGTCTTTCATCTATTAACTCTCCCACTTTTGTTTCCAGTCTTATCTTGGCTCTAGTGACTTCCTCGAGTTTAGACTCAAGTTCGGTGATTTGTGATTTAAGATGATCGTTTTCAGAAAGACTTTGATTTAGTTCGATAGTTAATCTTTTAAAAATCTTCCGAACCTTGCCTTTAGAGAGGGAATCAAATTTAGAAAGAAAACTTTCCAAGTTTACCTCGAAATTCTCTTGGTCGGATTCTTCATCGGAATTAGCCATGAGGCACAATCCTGCATGATTTAGGTCTTTTTCTTCTACTTCTTCTTCATCATCGGATGAATCTCCCCAAGCCGCCATCATTGCCTTCTTGAGGTCTCTGTTGAACCCTTTATCTTCACTGGACCTCCGATGGGAACTGGTCTTGTTCTTGTCGTAGGTTCTATCATTTTTCTTTTGGGGACAATCTTTTGCCCTGTACTCAAAGGAACCACAAACGAAACAACCTTGGTTATTAAAAGATTGGAAAGCCTTTTTACCTTGCTTATTTCGGTTGCCTTGAATTTCCGGTACATCTTTCTGAATTGCTTGGCGAACATGCTCATTTCGTCTTCCGATTCACTTCCGGATTCTTCTTTTTCTTCTCGAGCCTTGAGAGCTATTCCTCGCTCTTTTCTCACATTTTCGGCATCTTGTTCTTCTTGTAGGCCTAGCTCATATGTCATGAGTGAACCGGTCAAGTCTTCTAGCGTCATGGTAGAGAGATCTTTAGCTTCTTCTATAGCCGTAGTTTTAGGCTTCCACACGGAGGGCAAGCTTCTCATAACTTTTCTCACTTGATCTTCCACAGTAATATCTTTTCCAAGTGCTGAGAGCTCATTTATAATATTAGTAAAACGTGTAACATATCCCTAATTGACTCTTTAGGTTTCATCACGAACAATTCGTAATTACGCATAAATATGTCAATTTTGGATCTTTTTACACGCGAGGTACCCTCATGCGTAACCTCGAGCAAATCCCACATTTGTTTTGCGGATTTGCATCCAAGAACCCGGTTGTGCTCAGCCGGACCAAGTCTACAAATCAAATATTTCAATGCTTGAGCATTATGCTCGAGTTTACAATAATCATCAGAAGTATATTCAGATTTGGGTTTAGGGATAACCTTACCTTCGGCATCCTCCTTAGTGATGATTTATCGCCTACCTCAATTACGTTCCATACCTAGTATTTCTCAGCCTTGATGAAGTTCTCCATTCGACTCTTCCAGAATTGGTAAAATTTGCCGTTGAACAACGGTGGTCGTTGAGTCGAGTATCCTTCCTCCAATCGTTCAACCGTATTCATGCTACTGGATCTCTTCCCAAGGTATTAACCTTTATGTGGCGAAGACCGGCTCTGATACCAATTGATGAAACGGTTAGCAACACAAGAGGGGGGGGGGGGGGGGGGTGAATTGTGTGTGTGTGGAACCGTGGCAGTTTTTCGCACAGTTCTAGTGTGGGGTCCAGGGAATTATGAAATAATGAAGTGCACAAGGATTTAACGAGGAAAAATCCCTTAGCTCAAAGGGATTAAAAAAACCTCGACCTCCCTCGAAGGAATTTGAACAACTTCACTAAAAAGCCTTTGAATGATTACAAGGGAAACTCTCCTAGTATACCCTTGAGCCACCCCAACTCTATCCTCTCTAGGAAGAGTTATGCATCTCTACCTTGCAAGTAGAGAGCCTCTCAGCTTTACAACAAAGCTCTCACAACACACTAACCGACCCGAGGATGTTACACTTAGCCAATCCTCAAAAAACCCAATTACAAGATGGAGAAGGAAAAAGAAACTCAGTCTGGAACTCCGTGAGCAGGTTTAGATGCCTTGGACTTAGTGAATATTCGAGTGTATATTTCTCAATAGAAGCTCGGTCAAGCACACTTCATTTCTCTTTGGCTGCTTCATTTATATAGGCTGTCTTGGGTAGACCGTTTAAGCATCCTTCCTTGAATAGTTGATCTTCTAATCTTGGGACTTGCCTCAATATTTTGAATTGCTTTCCTTCTTTATAATACTTCCCATATCCGAGCTCAATATTTAAGGCAGCCGAATTAAACATCATAATCAAGGTAGCATATATCAGTCCTGGACTAAGAATGGATACAAACAGCTCGTCCATCTTTTGAGTTAATCAATTAATTACCGAATAAGGTAGGCTTCGATCAATATTCAAAAAGGTAGGAATATTTTTCTCAATATAAACAATCAACTAATTTAGATATGGAATATATTTCAACCAGCTTTTATTCTTTCACATCCGTGTAGCTATGGAATATTTTATGTATCATACTAAGCTATATCAATTATGGAAAGAGAATAATCACTCATATAAGGAAATCCTAGCAATAGAAGAACAAGTAGGTGCAATCCGTAATAATTCAAATCATATTATGGATTTAGAGATGGAGTTGTATTTTAGTTTCTCCTGCATGGTTAGTCAATCAAATTAATAATATCCATTTGTTCCTGTTACACAAGGAACTGTGAGCGGTTCTATCCGTCGTTCCCCTCTGTATGGTTAGTCATCAAAAAAAAATCATACTTAACATGGGATAAATAAATTTGAGAATTGATGATAGTTGGGGATATATTTAACCAATAATCCAATTGTATTTAGTTTCTTGGATTTAGGTATTATATTCCAATCTACAAGATTAATAAATGACCGAATCCATGGAATGAGGAAATGACTAAAGTTATTTTCCCACTCTTCTTCATAAATCTTAATTCAACCATGATTGATGTACACATCATTGTACACACCTTATAGACATCATGTTTGTGAAACTTTTTTTTGTCTGTGAATAATATTTTGTTTGTGCAAAATATTGTCTGTGAATCAATGTTCACAGACAAAAAAAAAACTTTAGCAGACATAGGTGTGTACAAAAGTGTGTATAAGAGTGTGTACAAACATCATTTTTTATCTTAATTTTACACTCCTTAATTTTTTACTTTATTATTCCACATATAATAATTAAGAATTGGTCAATTTTATAAAAGGGGATAGATCAAGACAAGTTTAAAAACAATACTACCTTCTGCACAAATTTCAAATAGTTTATCTTTTCAGCACAAATCTCAATTACATTATTTTTATTTTACTACTTCCGTCCCTTAAAATTTTGTCAAACTTGACCGGTACGAGGATTAATAAAGTAAAGATTATGTGGTTGAGGTTTGTGTAGAAGAGAGAGAATTAATCGAAACCATAAATATTTTATTTAACAGGAAACTGACAAAGTTAGTGGCACATTTAAAAAAAGAAAGTTCACAAATTTTAAGGGAGAAAGATGTACTTTCCTTTTTTGTTTGTCCCAAAAAACTTTGACACCTTCCTATAAAGCAATTTTTTGGTGATTCTGTTCATTTCTCTCTCTCCTTTGCACAAACCTCAACCACACACATTTTACTATTCTATTTTCTTGTCTAACATCAGCTTGACAGAGTCGAGTGGGATGGAAGTAATAATATTTTACACGTAAGTCAATATCCCCACCGTCCGAACTGTGAGAGGAGACCTGTGTGATGCGGACTTGGCAATTATTAATTGAAAAAACGTCATCAGAAATTCATGATACAATAAACGCATGCGAGAGAGGAAGTTTTTTTTATGAGAGAAAGAGGAAATGGGAGTTCCAATGAACGAAAAGGCCAAACATGTACGTCTGCATATGTCAAGTCCAGCTTCATCAATGAATGTTTACCGCATCACCTCATCCATGAAAAGCACTGTTTTCTAAGCAAATGGTCTCCGCCCTACGAAACCAAAACCTCCCACCTACCAATCATCACTCTTGAGAGCAAGAGGAAATGGGAGTTCCGATGAACGAAAACTGCTTGTAATCTGATCTGATTTTTTTGTATTTTTATAACTATCCAAGTCTTGATCTGATCTGAACTGATCTGGTCTGGTCTGGGAGGAATTACAGTCCAAGTAAAAACATCCTAAATTAATACTCCTTCCATAATTTAAAAATGAGAAGATTATTTTGTTACGGATGAAAAAGAAAAGTTAGAAGACTTTTTTGTTACGGAAGGAGTATGGAGTATCATCCAAGCCCAAAGTTCTCGATTTTCAGATTTCTATCAACATTAACTTCAATTTATTTGAATCTTATTAGAGAGAATTCTTTAAATAGGAGTAAAAAAGTTTTGAAATTCCAAAATTTGAGTATCATGTTTTTTATTCCCTAAATAGGAATAAATTTCTGCCAAGTTTGGCATTACTAGGCTTTAAAACATGTCATTTTTTTTCAAAATTGGCAGATTACTCCTATTCAGAGGAATAAATAACATGATACTCCTATTTTGGAATTTTAAAACATTTTTGCTCCTATTTAGAGCAATTTCTAATCTTATTAAGCAATCGGACTGATCATCATTATGATTTATGAATGAAATTTCCGAAACGTTGAGTCTTTAAGCTATGATATTTTTTGAGCTCAAGAGGCCGTTTGGCAACACTTTTTTTTTGCTTATCAAGCTTATCAGCCAACTTTTTCACCAAACACGTAACTTTTGCTTTCGCGCGTTTAATTGTGTAATAAGCAGAAAAAGTAAGGTTGGAGTTACTTTTGTGACTGTATTGGCTGAAGTTACTGTAGATGACCATTTTAGCTATTTTTACATATAATTTTTTCTTTGTTTTATTAATAGAATATATTTTAAAAATATTTTTTTCTTAAATCAGCAGAATCAGACAACGCAACCACTTCAGCCAGAACTTTATAAATTTCAGCAGAATCAGCCAAATCAGCCGATTTTCGTGCTACCAAACGGGCTCTAAATGTCTTTTCTTTCGGCATGCATCCCGCCTCTATGTTTATCATTTGGCCATAATAGTTGCATTTTGGATACCATATGCCATCTTCGAGGTTCTTTAACTGAAATAAATTAGATCTTATGGAGTAGGGAGTATTTTTTTTATTACGTTTCCCTTCAACTATTTGTGTGGAAGAACTCATGCCGCTCCCTTGCTCATCCTTACGTGGCATGGAACCCTTCTTGGTCGTCAATGTGCATGAGACCAATTCTTGTTGCACTTCTTCCTCTACTTCTTCAAACTCTTCTTCTGCATCACGTATTTCAAGAATGGTGGCTTGCGCAAGAAAAAGACTGGTGTTGCTTCAACAGTTGTTCCATAACATCGTCAGTAATTGTGTTTTGAGGATTAAATCCCCAACTTTCTTTCATGGCAATGATGGCATGGGGCGTGATGATGATGACCCGATGAAACGTTTTCTACGTTAAAGATGACTTATAACTGTGATTTCAACTTTTCAAGTCTCAACCCAGAACTGTGACGACTTAAGGTCCCGATACAATTCCAGGAACTAACCGGTCTCGATCCGGGACGGTCCTGGGATTGGGACCTTGTATATCCCTAGTCTAGTGCAAGACCAATTTTGTCTATATCTTCATTTTTTCCTCCAAGAACTTTTTATGTCTATATCTCGATTCATGTTACGCGACTCCAAAATCTTTTGAGATTAAGCCTTTAATATTGTTGTTGTTGTTTTTGTTGTTATCCCTCCTAGATATCACAAATCGAACAATATGTGATTTGGTGTATTAAATCGAAAAACTTCAACCAAATGAAACCGAACTTATTTAACAAATTTAGTAAAATCAATACTTAGTATATTTCTAAAACAACAAACTTAAACCCAACGTACCGTCCGGTCGAGGTTGGGGCCCTCAGAGATGAGGTGTCATCCTTTCTCAAGAGCGCTACTTGACCTGTTATGACTAATCACCAAACCCAATAATGTACCAAACTGGACACTAACCATCCTATTATGAGTTATGACTAATCACTAATCTAAAGATACGAGTACATATAAAGTGACATTCATTCTGATGCGATATATATTCCCATGATTAAAAGTTCATGACCAATATAAAGTCTGAAAACTGATGCGCCATGTCTCAAATGGTCAAAGGGCTCATCATGGGAAAAATTAGAACTTAAAGGCCGTTTGGCGATCCGCATTTTTGGCTTATCAGGCTTATCAGCTAACTTTTTTACCAAACACGTAAATTTTGCTTTCGCGCGTTGAATTGTGTAATAAGCCGAAAAAGTAAGGTTAGAGTTACTTTTCTGCTGTATTGACTGAAGTTACTGTAGATGACCATTTTAGCTATTTTTACATATATTTTTTTCTTTATTTTATTAATAAAATATATTTTAAAAATATTTTTTTCTTGTATCAGCAGAATCAGCTAATGCAGCCACTTCAACCAGAAATTCATAAATTTCAGCAGAATCAGTCAGAACAGCCGATTTTCGTGCTGCCAAACGGGCTCTTATTGAAGTGCAAAATCAAACTCAAATATTGAAGCACAAAAATCAAATTCAAATAAGATAAAAGTTGAAATAAAATCAAACAATAAAAAAGAATCACATATACCATGAAATAGTAAGATTAGAACTATATTTGGAACATGGAAAAAGCGTAGCTAATTGTTATAACTAGTCAAAACCTTATACTCCCTTCATCTTCCTAACTTTGTTCCGTTACCCCTTTTTTGTTCGTTCCATTAAGTTTGTCGCATACCATATTTGTTAATATTTGAGCGGTTACAATTCATATTTTATTCACATTTTATCAATTCAATAACAGCCACACAATTCTATTTTTTCTTTAAAACCACACTACATCTCTTTATCTCAAACTTAAGAGAATTGAGGTAGTAATAAAGAAGAAAGGCATTGGCGACACAAAGTATATACTCATTGCAATGGTAATTGTCCTTTTGCTAACTGTGCATCCCTCCTACTAACATTGGGACATTATGGAGTGACACTGTTACTAAGAAAAAATGAGTTTATGTGGTTGAAATTGAATTAATAAAGTAAGAATAAAATAAAAATAATTTAGAATCACGCAAAATTTACCAATGAGAGTATTTTTTTCTTTTCAGCCAAATTTTTATCAAGCACTAAATTTTTTATTTTACAATAAGTAAAATATATATACTCCGTAAAAGAATATAGATATTGTTCAAACTTAACTTGCTAAATATGGTACCTTCTAAATTTAATTATTTTATTGTTCATTAAATTCATCTACAAGATCAACCATTTCAGCATCTTAATTAGGTCCAGTTAGGGGTGGATCGGGACCGGGCTAGGCCAGGACTGGGTGGGCTCGGGCTTCGGGATTTCAAGCCCGGTACTGGCCCGGGTTTGTGGGGTCGGGCCGGGCTTCGGGACAGGACTAAGTAATAACTTTAAAAAATAGTGCAATCGAGCCCCAAAAAATGAGCCCGAAGCCCGCCCTTATAGCCGTCAGGCCCCGGGCCGGAATTGGACCTATAAACTAGGAAAAATTCTTAGTGTACATGAGTTGTACACAAAGTGTACACAAAACCCCCTAGTTGTCTGTGTACACAGGCAATTCGTTTAAAAAGAGGCAGGATTCGATGCGAAAATCCTCCAATTGTCTGTGTACACATGCAATGTACACAATTTGCGTACATTTTGTGTACACCAAGAATGACCCATAAACTAGTGGGCCAGCCCGGGCCGATCTGTCCGAGTCCATCTCTAGGTCCGATCAAATTCAACTTTATCTATTACAATAGTAAAAAAAATACTCCCTTTGTCCGGAAAAGGTTCACCAAATTAACTTTTCTTGATCAATGACAATCAAATTTGACCAATTATGTTTTTAATATGAAAATCATATCAAAATGTAACTTATTCAAAATATTTTCATAAAAGTATAAAATTTATCAATTATATCTAAATATAATAGTTAAAATCATTATCCAAAGTTTGTCATTCATTGATCAAGAAAAGACGATATGACTAACTTTTCTGGATGGAGGTAGTAACACCCTATTCTTGAGAACCCTCTGATACTGGTACACTCGTAGTGTAATATCCTCCCTCCGTCCCGAAAAGGTTGGCCAAATTTCCTTTTTTGGATATCCCAAAAAGATTTGTCATTTCCATTTAAAGTAAGGAATATGTGGTTAAAATTAATTCTCTCTCCTCTGTACAAATTTCAACCACACAATTTTTAGTTTATTAATTCATGTGAAAGTCAACTTTAACCAACCTTTTTTGGGATGAAGGGAGTACTACAGAGTGTAGTTTAGTGAGGTAGGATTCAAGCCCTTGGCCCTTTAAACAAACTTTAGATTATATTTTTGTTTTTTGGTAAACACAAACTTTAGATTATTAATAGTGTAAGACTGTTCAGTTTTAAATACATAACGGTAAAGAATTTAACGAAATCATGGCAGGTCAACTTTCCCGCAGAGGTTAAACTGTACGAGAGAACGAAAAACTTAAAAGTTGCTTAATTAAAAATTAGGAAAACGGTAACTTTTCTGACTGATATAGATCTTGAAAGAATGAGGTGTTAGATTATTATTTTCAATTATTAGAAGTAATAATAGCATCAATAAAGACGAAAATGGATAAATTGTACCCGGCCAATGATAAAGGTTGTCGTACCATATACCATCAGAATTGGTGTAAGCGGCCATGTGAGAGTGTGGCCCTCACCCTTTCATGTCCAGCCTAAAAGAAACCAAAGAAAAGGACAAAAGAGTCCTCCAAAGTCACTTTAAATTGCATTAAAGAATCCTAGCTTTACTTTGCTTTTTCTGCACCCCTCTCTCCTTCTAGGCCCCATAAAGGGCAGTGTCTGAACAGAGAGGAGCAATCAAAAATATGGCATGATGGTAACTTTACCCACACCCCCACCCTAAAAGATCTCACACTTGCTTTCCCTTTTAGGCCCTTTCTTCCCTGCAGTAGTTAACCCTCTCATCCACCTAATCTCTTCTTCTTGGGAAGTTTTTCTTGTGAATAAATTCACCTTTCTGCATATCAGATCTAAAGCTTGAGTTTCAGGTTCTGAACCCGCCCAGAACCACCCTGTTATTCTCTAAAAAACTAAACCAATGATCAGATTCAGGATAGGGACTTTATCTGTTCCAGGCCAGTGCCTCAAAAATAAGACCAAACCGGGCCACTTTTTTTCTTTTGAATCAAGTCAAGAATTCACCAAGAACCGAATCAGGACCGAAATCCAAACAAATACCAGATAGGCAGATAGCACCGTTAAAGTTCCGATTATTTCCCTTTTCGGGGGACCTGGATGCATTCTTTAATCCAAACAAATACACTTTACACTTAATCACCATATAGACGCTAGCGTCGACTTGAGCCCGTCTCGATCTGATTTTTCACGGAGAGATCAGAGCGAGGGAAATCGGGTAACATTAAATTTATCCAGGTAAACCCGTTCTGATTCTGATTCAGTCAACACAACCTTTAGGCCTATTTTAGATGTAAAAAATGGATACCCAAACGGCCAAACCGATTTAGAACGGTCCAGAAAAAAGGGCCATGGTTCTAGTTCTTTACTCTCTTGAGTTCTGCTCCAAAATCAGAACCAGTTCCACCCCTAATGGTCGCCCCTAAATAGGATTTTCTTTCACAAGGCAGCTTAACAAGTAAATAAAATTTGAAAAATGCTTTGTGTACACATTTTGTACATTCGTCTGTCTCACGCACTTCTGTATGTGGACAGATAATTTCTTGTGCGCGAGACAAGCGAGTGTACAAAAGGTGTACACAAAAATGTGTACACCTAGCACAGCTCCTACAATTTATGCCAATGAAAGAATTGGTTAGAGGAACTTTTACGGCTACTGCGGGAGTAATTATTTATTAGTACTGTAGCGATTTACCGGGAAATCGGGATGAGCTGGTAAAGACGTAAAGTAGGAAATAAGAAACAAGGGTAAATATGAGGTAATAAGATTATAAGATTGTAGGACAAAATATAGAGTTATACCACCACCACTACTACTACTAGGGCATATTACGACTACTAGGGGGTGGGGGGTAATGTTTGTTATGAGGATGATGCTATTCTTATGTGAGTGTGTGTATGTGGGGTCCAGCACACAACTACAAAAGAGGGTACAAAATAGACAGAGGGATCCTACTCCCCTTAAACCAGTTCATCTGTCCTATACATATGCATTATGTATCCTTGCCGGTAATATCCTATTGATGATGAAAACATGTCTTTAAAGCGATCCTCCTTGCAGATCTTTTCTTTGTTATGGATATACAAGTCAGCTTTCTGCATATGAATCACAAGAAGACAGGCATTAGAATAACAAATATAACAAACTGGCTGAGATGGGGTCTGCATTTGGTGACAGCAATGACTGACTGTGATTAATTATTAAAAAATATGCTTTTACTGTACTTTCCAATTAAGTAAAATATATGTGCTCCATAATAATAATATAAACTGTTTTCAAGTAGTTAAATATGCTAAAGTTACAAACAAGTTAAATACTACGTATGATAAATTTAGATAAACAAACATTTGATTTTTTAGAATGTAATGACTTGTAAAAAGTGGTACATCAACCAAATATGATAAAAGTGTATTCTCTTAATTTCAGTCATTTTACTTGCAAGAATAAAAAATCCTGTAACCAATTGGTTGGTGCTACCTAAACTAGCACCAAGAAAACTTTATAGGTATAAAAATTATGGAACAGGTTGCAAAAGAATGATCTTACCCTGCTCAAGTCTACTGCCTACACTTCAATGGCTTCTTGTCCGGTAGTTAACCTGATTAAGCAATTCAAAATTTTCAGGTCTCTGTATTTTAGAACTGCAACTATGAAGAAAAATTTTACAAAAAAAAGTGATGTGAAATTACTTAGGGATCTTCAGGGAACATGCTTGAAGAGAAGCCATGTTGAGAGCAGAAGTAGACGGGAGCATGGCAGGGATGTCATTGGAGGGTGTTGCTGAGGAACTATCATCTGCGTCCGTTGGTGCATGTGAAGAAGCACTGTCTACTTCCACCTTATATTTTGCAGGGAATGCAAAAAGGCCATCTGGAAGCTTGTTCTCCGTGCTGGTTTCGTAACAAACAGGACACCAAAGTGTTAGGGACGGTTTGGATACGGGAAATTCTAGAGAAAGATACTAACAAGGATATTACAGAATAAACTTGAAGAAAATGGATGAATTTATCCTGTTTTTGTTTGTTGATACTCATCTTGTTTATTCACGTCTGTCATATAGAGTAACAAATCTAAATATATGTAAATTAAATTAACAATCATATTTAAAGGTAAAATCAAACATATGCAAATAACAATTTTTATCATTTTCCCATCTCCCTAGCATTTTCAGAGAGCCAAACATACCCTTAGGGTACATTTGGTGCTCGGAAATTACTAGTGAAAGAAAACGAGGAAATTTGAAAGGAAAGACAATGGGTGGATAAACAAAAATGGCGCCAATGCAATATATCAAACTTAATTCTTTGTTAGAACTCTTTATTCTCGACATGAATATTATTATTGTATAAAGATTAAGAATTAAATATATGCAAAACTTTATACAGTTTTAATCAGATTAGACTTTCCTATGTATTGTCCAAGCCTCCACGGTAATATCAAACATAAAACAAAACATGTGGGTTAGCAATTTTTCTCTTACCTTACTGTTTTCCTGAATTCCAAACATAGCCTCAGAGAGTAGGAAAACTGAACAAAATACAAGAACTATTTGCCAATAATACCTTGCATTCAGTTCAAGGGCATCAAGATTCGAGCTTTGCTCCTTTTTGATACTATTATCATTTCCACTATCATTCTCATGGGCTTCAGTTTGCTCCCATGGAAGCTTCACATGGTGGTCAGCATTGATTTCTGGGACAAGACTGTGATAGTTTTGTGAAAGAGAACTGCTCAAAGAAGGGACTGAAATTCCAGGATATGAAGCAGGCTGGAACTGATGATAATTATGATGATTTTTCTGGTCCAAAAGCTGCATATTCATCAGTCTTCTTCCTTGAAGCTCAATGGCCTGTTGCAGCTCAGCATCTTGCTCTAGCTTTCTTCGAAGCATTGCCTCGCGTGAATTATAAAACATCCTTGGTCCTGTTAAACCATTGGCAATTCAGGAACTAATGGATACTATAGGTCTCTTTGGAATTACGAAAAAATCACTATGGGGAGAAAATACAAGACAGCATATTTGTAAGCAAAGAAAGTGAGGGGTAAAATATAATGTCTACTCAAACTCAAAAAAGAATTGATATTGGTTCAAACTTATTTTATTTAATTATTTATTTCTACTATATAAGATTATTAAAATTAACAATGTGTAAAACAAAAGTATAACAGTAATGATATTTCATTTTCCCTTGCATTTACAAGATACAACCAAACAGAAGAAAAGAGCTTTCATTCCCATTTATTTCCTTCCCATTGTATTTAATGGAAGGAAAAAAATGCTATGTATTTTCATATGTTTGGCTTTACTTTGGAAAATATAGAATATTAATTTTTAATGTTTTAAAGCAATAGTAGTATATTTACATTTTTTGAAATGAAATAATTAATTAATAAAATGAGTTTAAACAAACATCTAAAATTATTTTATTTTGAACAACTGCCAAGTTTTCCCCCAATATTTCTCTTCTAATTTCACTTCATATTTTCTTCTCTCATTTCTTTACTTCATATTTTCCGGGATCCAAACATGCCCTATAAGCTAGCAAGAATCAAAGGACACACAATTTTAACAGCATACCGAAAGGAAGGTCATGGGGCTCCAGAGAATCAAGACCAGATGGGCTTAAGCAAGATGAAAACTTCCCCCTGTCCATATGGTGCTGCTGGTGCTGCTGTTTTCTACATTACCAACCAAGAACAGAATATTATTTTTGCACAAATCATGCACAAAAAATACAAATCAGAGAAGAATAACACAAATAGATACTTTTCTGGGATATTCCCCTTTTCCTTGTAGGGTTTCACAAGCACACGAGAGTCACACACAAAGTGTGGATTCCCTTTGGCCAAGATCCGCTTCACAGTCTCCGGGTACACAAATGTGACAAACCCAAACATTCTCTTCTGTTGGTAAGGAATTCTTACATCTTGCACTGGCCCATACAAGCTGCAAAAATTAAAAATGCAGTTTTTTAATAACCAATATTTCAAGAGCTCCATCTTTAAAATAAATAAAAAATACACACCCGAAGTAATTAGAAACATCCTCTTCACTAAAGGTGCTATCAGCAGGAAATGTCAAGTATATTTGCCGCGAGCAAGAATTGGAGTATCCGGCCAAACCCATGCTGGAGTAGTCATTAACTTCTGATCGGCAACGCCCGAACTTGCGAAGCTCTTCCCCCAGCATCAATGCAGCTGGTGGAGACCTGAAATGGTAATTATCCATAAACAGAAAATTCAAATTTAAAACACAGGCCTTATTTAGCTTGATGATCAGAGAAACATTTCAGGCAGACAGGATCTAAAAGGAGAGCCATAAAAACACAGATAGTAAATAATCTGGAAAGCCAAATTAGGAATGGTTGCCAAATTTGCCAAACTAGGCATTGCTGAAATACAAGACAAATGGATTATGTGAAAACAAGATGCATGGTAACAAATTAATTGGCAAAGTTACCAAATATGCTCATGAACACCGCCCATGAGTGAATGTGACTAGATGTATTAAAGATTATGTTAGGTTTATATCCCACAAAATAAATGATGGGTTAAAGTTAACTACTTTCTTCAAAAACATAACCAAATAAACACACAGACAAGCTTGATTGCATAAAATACCTCGGGTTATCGTTCAGAATGTTCATGCACTTGTTGTACGAGAAAGGGTGGTGAGCACTAGAAGCCATGAGCTGTGAAAACCTCTGCTGCTGAAGAGCTTTGATCCGAACAAGCTCATCCAAAGAGGCGGCGTCAATTTTTCCGGGAGAACCACCGAAAACGGAAGCAGACCCATCAGCCGCCGAGTCAGTAAAGCCACCGCCGTTCTTGGCAAGACCCCGGCCGAAGTACATGCAAGGCCTCAAACCGTCTTCTGATCCACCAAGATAACCGTCGCTCATCGAGAACCGCCGCCTGTGAAGCTGCTGGTGGGGGTCAGGGCTTTCCTCGTACGGGAAAATAAGTGAATCGCTCTTGTTCCCGGTCGGGCTCATTATCGGGTCAAAAGGCTCAAACTGATCAGTGGGCTCCCCATTGTAGAAAGGGTGAGGAGAAGAACTGGGAGTGGCGGAGGAGGCCGGAGGAGGGTTTGTGGAACCGTTAACCACGGCGGCGTATGAGAGGTGATTTCTGGAAAACGCAGGAGACCCAGAGGGCCAGAGAGACGACGGAGAAGAAGGGAAGCCATTGTTGTTAGGAATCGTGATTCTGGGGGGCGAGTGGGTGAGAGGGCCGAACTTGGTAGTGGGACTGAAGGGGGAAGGCGAACAAGGCGCAGAATGCGAGGAGGAAGAAGAAGAGTTGGAGGGAAGGCCAAGAAAATCCTTGGCCTGATTGATGAGAGACAAGAGGAAAGTATCAGGAACATGGGCCAATCTTATCATCTCTTCATCCCCCTGGTCCTGAATCAGTATGTAACCCATGATTTTCGAAGCGTTATCTGGATCCAAGCTCTGAACCCTGGAGAAGACTATCTTAGTAGCTTCATAAGCGTCCATGGCGGTGGACGGTGATGGAAATGATGGAGTGGAGAAGAGAGCAGAGCACTGTGTGGTGGTGGTGGTGGCAGTGGGGAGTAGGGAGTGAGAGAGTATGCGTTGGATGGATTTCTCTTTCTCTTGGTTTGATGTTTTCTTGAGAGAGAAAACGATAAAGAGAGAGAAAAGAGGGCGGAGTTCCGGAGAGGGCAGTTGCATCAGCAGCGCCTCAAATTACTAATCTCTCCTCGAGGAGTTCCACTCCCAATTGGATTCCCGGGGCCGTCTGGAATTTGGTTAGATAAATGCGACCAGATAAATCGAGGCTAATTTCGTGTATTAATCAATCATTAACAAATTCCCCATACATAATCACACATATACATTCATGTCTACGTGGAAAGAATTCGGGTTAGGCCGGCATGACGGGTATATCGTCGCAAGAATGTGTTTTGGTCAAAAGTCCAATGATTCAATTTTTTTGATTTTTTTTGTTTATTAGGATATTTTGAGTTTGAACTCGTCAATGGTTAGTGTCTTTGTATTTAATAATTATCCAAGTCTGCTCTGAGATGTTTTCTTTTGGACTGTTTTCAGTCTCAGATCATACTTTAACATACCAGACCAGATCAGATCAGATTTGGATAGTTATAAAATACACAAAGATCAGACGTTTACCAGACCAGTTCAATCCAGACCAAATCATATCAGACCAGACCAGATCAACAAATTTTAGTCCAAAAGAAAAATCTCTAGTCTGGTTTGTGACCGAAAACAATTCAAATAAAGACATCATATCATTCGATCATTCAAATTAGATGGAGATTGACCAAGACAATAAGTAAACAGTCCGGAAGAGATCAAACTTTGCCTGACTTGATGAGAAAATTTTAGTCATAAATATATAATTTTATTAAACTTTAGGAGTTTGTAGTTCTACTTTGAAACAAGTTAAGATCTAATGATTGAATGTATACTTGATGCTAATGAACTAAAAACATATGGACATTAAATTGATTTTATAAGGAAAAAAGAATTTGGCATCATGAAATTCCCATCAGGCTAGTCTGACAAAAATGCTATTTACACATGTTGGTATCAAGAGAAACAAATTTTAAGATGGCATTTCAAATATAAATGGTAAAATCGATGGTATTGAGAAGTGAGGTGTAGGGTTGAGATAATAGTGTTTTAGTATAATACTTGGAGATTATATAAGTGATATAGTATATAGGCTGAACGAGCAATTACTTTCACAAAACACGCGGAAAACGGCACAAGTTGACACCCTGGCGCACTCAAGCGCCTTGGCCCCTGGCACCTCGTCCCTAACAAGGAAATCAACCAGACACGGAAGCAAGCTAACAGAGCAAGCCAAACAAAAACACGGACAAGGGCCCTCAGCCCCTCATCCACTCCTCAACACTTCAACAATTCCCCCAACGCCCAACGTCGCATTGGGTCACATCGCGGGGTTTCGCACATATACAAGCTTACACGTGTACATGCACTTAGTGTTTATTATAAGTGTAAAAAACCCTTTGGGCAGATGTAAATGAATTGAAAATCATTAATACATCGCATATCTTTCTCTCTATGTAGTTAGGTCTCTCTTTTCTTTAGATACCACATAGACAATCAAGCATATGAGCATTATCTGTGTGTGCGCGTGTATGTATGTATGTATGCATGCATGTATGTATGCATGCATGTATGTATGTATGCATGCATGCATGTATGCATGCATGTATGTATGCATGCATGCATGCATGTATGTATGTATGTATGTATGTATGTATGTATGTATGTATGTATGTATGTATGTATGTATGTATGTATGTATGTATGAATGTATGTGTGTGTGTGTATGTGTGTGTGTATGTATGTATGTCTGTATGTATGTACGTACGTACGTATGTAAGGACAAAATGTCAAAATCCAAAACTAAATCAATTTAGATATATGAAAATAAATTGGCACCAAAGCATTGGCAAATGAGATTTTAACAGGCCGTACATTATTCATTTGTAATTTGATATCATCACCACGTTGTTCCGAACATTATTGATAGGAGTTAATATGTTTTATTCCGAGTATAGGAGTCATACGCTCCTATTCAGAGTGTTTACGTTTTCTGCAATGTCTAAAATGTTCTAGTGTGCATCCATGATCTCCGCCTCCAGCGTCGACCTTTTTTCTTCTTCTGTGCATCATCTTCTCCTGCAACTCCAAAATCAATCTTCTTCTGCAATTTCAAAATCGATCATCTTCTCTTGCACCTCCAACATCGATCCCTCTCTACGATGTCTAGTCCAAAACTCCAAGTTGTTATACTACTCTCCTTCTATTCTCTACTTATATTCCCTTTCCTCTCTTCCTCTTCACACCAGAACATTATCTCCCAGGTATTCTTTCACCTGCTCTTCCTCGTCTGGTTTCTTCTTCCTCCTCTGTTTTGTAAAAAGTTGTCATGTATGTTCTCAAAATGTCATGAAAAAAGTCATTTACATGTGTAAAAACATGGCAATCGTTGAAAATGTCAAGCATGTGTCATTTTTACTTTTGGAAATTTTTGCCCTGAAAATGTAATGACGATGTAAAATAAAAATTGTCATTTTGATAAATGTAATGTCAAGGTAGTGACATTTTTATCAAATCAGTGCACCATTATGGCATTTTCAGGTCCAAATGGGGAGAAAAGTGATACTCCCTCTGTCCCATTGGACCTTGCCAACTTTTCATTTTTGGTTGTCTCAAAAAACTTTGCAACTGTCTAATTAAAGCAACTAATTTGTGGTTCTGCACAAATTTCAACCACACATTTTTTACTTTTCTTATTTCTCACCTACTTTGCACTTGACAAAGTCCATCGGGACAGAGGTAGTATGAATTAGAAGAAATTTATAAAAATTGAAAATTAAAATGAGAAGAAACAGATGAACATTGGAAGAAAGAAAATAGAGAAGTTTGAAGAGGATGATGATGAGGATGAGGAGCTTATGTGAGAAAGTAGAAGAGGGATCATTCATTTTCAGGGAAAGCTTTGCAGAGGCATCATTCATTGTCATTCACGGTCATCGCAACCACCATGTAGGGCAAGCTTTGCGGAGGCATCCTTCAGCAACACAAGCTTCGAAAGTCGCAAATGCAAAAAGAGTAGTATTGCAGGGCAATTTTGCAATTCCACCATTTTAGTCCTACGTTGTTGCACAGAAAAGTGACAGTCCTACAATGGAACTTTTCATTTGTTTTAGTCCCATTAAACAAAACAAATGCAAATAATTCATGCTCTTGTTTCTTTCATTACATGAAAATCTGTCTGCCTTACTTTTTCACATTCATGTCCACACTTTATAGATGTAAAATCAACCGCATAAGGGAAATAATTTTTTATCCCAATTTTTATTATGTTTATAAATTGACGCTGTTTATTAAAATAGTACTGCCCCCGCCCCCCTAATATTGGGACAAAAGAGAGTGATGTGGTTTTTAAGAAAAGTAGAATTATGTTGTTGATAATGAGTTGATAAAGTGGGGATAAAGTAAGAATGAACTAGAACCACACAAATGTTACCAAATATAGTATGGGACAATAATAGAGGGACATCCAAAAATGAAAAAATGGGACAATTATAAGGGGCGGAGGGAGTAGTTATATCTTTTTCGTTAGTTTCTTTACTTTTTGGGAAGATGGGTGACTTATATTGATATCACAACATTCATATAGGGAACAAACAGATAAAAGGATCACTCTCAACCGCCGGCCCTCGAAACAGACTCAGAGTCAATCAACTTCCAGAAAGCAATATGACTCGTTGATCCTGTAATGGGCATAACTGAGTCAAAAACGGTCAAAACAGGTCATTTATCACTCAATCCTAATTCAAGAGTCTGACAAAACAAAAAATAGAATGCGAGAACAAACATAGTCTGATTAAAGGAAAAACAAAAATATAAACAACATTATTAAAACTGAGTTGCATCCCCATAACCACTGAGGTATCCTTCCCTGCCATAAAACTTCTTTAGAACTCTCGCTGGCCCCAAATTACTTTCTGGCACGGAGGTGGTTCCGGGGGAGGATGAGTTGCTGCTGCATGGGTGAAGGCAAGCTTCCTCTTCTAAAGTCCTTTTCTGATAAGGAGAATTCAGACCTCCTGCACCATCAGCCACATCTTTGCTTACCAGACCCTTCTCTTCTTCCTCTATAGTCAACCTGTGGTACTGCTCCTCAACTTCTCCATTGAAATCAACAAGGTCGAACGAACTACCGGCTGCAGGCGTTAAACTCAATCAGAAAAATATACCCTAGAAAACCCTAAGGAACAACCGCCGCTCAAAGCTACAATCCTCTGGGAACTGAAAAGAAAATTTGAAACTCCAAAAAAACCCAATTGCCGCAACCCAGGCCTAGAGACATGCCGAGCGAGAGTGTTGATGTGCCGAAAGAGGGAGCGTTGATGCATTGCGCCTGCTAGAGGATCTCCTTTGTTAGCGTAACTAGGCCTCGTTATTTTCTGTACTTAATAATTGATTAATATATTACGCACATACATTCACAATGGACCTGTCATAGGGTAATGGTAATTCATAACTTGGGTAATTTTCTCACCTACATGTGAAACAACTCACGTATAAATAAATAATAAGTTATCTTAAGTACTTACACATCACTCTATATTTTCAAACAACTGTCTATAACAATTATTGAAGTAAAGAGATTTTATATTATTAATGTTGTCGGTACCATCAAACTACTTTGATGACTCCCCCTCCTCAAAGGCATGTAGTTTATCATGACTAATGAATATAAGATGATGCAACAAATGCATCAGCATCGTTTATCTTATCTCTAGTTATTTCGTTGATCAATGTAATTATACAAACCCTTCTTGCAGATATCAACCTTTTTTACCTATAATCAGTATCATGATGTGACAATTTGTAACTCTAAAGTCTATATAGTTGTAAACTATCCACATGTTCTTTAATGATATTCGCTTATGACTCTGTAAACTCATCGAATAAAATGCACATTTTGTGATGGGGGTCATATCATGATTGTTAGTATTCTCGGAACCAACAATTAGTCTCATTCTTGTATGATTATGGAAATATGTGAAGTCATGCCATACAATTTTGTGCGCCTTATAGGCTTTGGTTCCTTATGTTAGTATATATGTCCTAGCGACAATCATTTCTTTAAAGACATATGTACTCGATCACATTTAGTTTTTATATTTGATATATACACGGTATTACACTTTATGAATGATTGTTTTCGATTGTCAATGTTTTATTCATAATTGTGTTCCCT